CAGGAATAATGAACCATCGGCTCATGTAGCATTTCAGTGCAAAAATGAGAACTGTGTTCAACTTTGGCATAGACGCCTCGGTCACAGAAACGATGATGCAATCAAGCAACTTGTAAACAAAGAACTCTCTGAAGGAATTAAACTAGATAACTGTAAACATGATACCAAATGCATTCAGTGCATAAAATGTAAACTAACTGATTTTCCGTATCCCAAAGAATCGAAATTCAGAGCATCTAAGCCACTCGAACTTGTTCACACTGATGTTTCAGGACCAGTACAAACACCATCTGTCAGTGGATACCTATACTTCGTACCTTTTATTGATGATTACAGCAGGTTCACAATGGTTTACCTAATGAAAAAGAAAAATGAAGTAATTTCTAAACTAAAACAATTTATTGCTCTTACAAACAATAAATTCGGGAGAAAGGTAAAAACGCTAAGAAGTGATAACGGTGGTGAGTACACAAGTAAGGAACTTGAAGAATATCTTATAAAACATGATATAAATCACCAGCTTACTGTACCGTATTGTCCAGCACAAAATGGAGTAAGTGAGCGCAAAAAATAGGTCTTTGATGGAGATGACAAGATGTCTTTTAGCTGACTCAGGTCAACCTCACAGATACTGGGCCGAAGCAGTGCTGACTGCAAATTATTTACAGAATCGTATGCCTACAAAACCAAATGCAAAAACTCCATTACGAATTATGGAATAACAAGAAACCCAACCTCTCTCATCTGAGTGATTAATTATGGAATAACAAGAAACCCAACCTCTCTCATCTGGGTGCAAGGCTTTTGCTAACATCCATAAATCTAAAAGAAGGTAAAAATTGGATGATACTGCTATAGAAGGAATACTCGTCGGCTACAACAGCAGAAGTAAAGGCTACGGAATTTTAATTCCTGGAGACAAAATTATAATAAGTCGATCTGTACGATTTATTGAAGACACTGGAACTAATAAGCCTGTAAGCATCTGTTTAAACCAGGATGAAGAAAATTCTAAGGAAGAAAGCTCAAAATGGGAAGAAGTAAAATTGGAAGACCCCGAAGAGGAAGAAATATCAGAACACGAAGAAGAACCTTTGGAACTCAGAAGATCGAACAGACTCACAAAAGGTAAACCTCCTGATCGCTACAGATTCCATGCCAAATATCCAATCTCCTCTGAACCCAAAACTTGGAAGGAAATTCAAAGTTTGGAAGAAAATGAAAAAAGAAAATGGCTAACAGCTGTTCGAGAAGAAATTAATTCACTAGAAGAAAACAACACTTGGGAATTAGTTGATTTACCAAAAGGAAGAAAACCAATAGGATGCAAATGGTCTTTCAAGACAAAGCTCAATGCAGAAGGAAAAATTGAAAGATACAAAGCCAGATTAATTGCAAAAGGATTTAGCCAGAAGTTTGGATCTGACTATGATGAAACCTTTGCTCCTGTAGTAAAATACACAACGCTACGAGCCTTCCTATGTGCAGCTTCGTATAAGAACATGTCTGTCAGACATATCGATGTCAAAACAGCTTTCCTTCATGGAGAACTAGAAGAAGAAATTTACATGACTCAACCCGAAGGATACTCAAAAGCTGGAAATGAAAATAAAGTTTGTAAGCTGAAGAAATCTGTGTATGGTTTAAAACAAGCCGCTAGAGCTTGGAATCTGAAAATTGGAAAAATACTTCTAAACATAACATTTAAACAAAGTAAAGCAGACCCATGCTTTGTTTTACAAAAACATCAATGGAAAATTCACGTATATAATATTATATGTAGATGATATGCTTGTAGGAAGTGAAAGAGAAGAAGATGTAATGGCAACAATCCAACAATTGAACGCTAAATTCGAAATAAAAAACCTAGGAGAAGTCACCTACTACCTCGGCATAAACATTGAAAGATTTAAGGATGGAACTTTTGCCATAAACCAAAAGAATAAAATCGAAGAAATAGTTCAAAAGTTTGGACTTCAGAACGAAAAGCCAACATATACACCAATGGAAAAAAATTACTGCAAACTAGAAGATGACCTTCTAGAGGATAATACAGAATATAGACAAGCAGTAGGGGCATTATTATATATTGTAACAATCAGCCGACCAGATATAGCATGTGCAGTCAATCTACTGAGTAGAAGAAACGAAAAACCTCGGAACACAGATTGGAGTGCTGTCAAGAAAAGTCATTCGATACTTGCACACAACTAAAGACTTTAAGTTGGTCTTTAATAGAATACAAGAACCTATACTAACTGCATATTCGGATGCAGATTGGGCAAATGACAGAACAACAAGAAAATCTATTAGCGGATACATATTCAAACTGGGAAATAACTGCATTTCATGGAGCAGCAAACATCAAAACTGCATTGCACTATCTTCAACTGAAGCAGAATATATTGTGGCAGATAATACAGCACAAGAAGCACAATGGCTGTTAAATTTGCTTAAAGATCTAAGACTAAAACAAAATATGCCGATTACTCTCTATGAAGACAACAAATCATGCATCAAACTATCACAAACGGAGAAAAATAGCTCCAGAACAAAGCATATAGGCGTGAAATACCACTACTTGCGTGAACTTCAACAAAACGGGATCCTGTGCCTAGAGTACTGCAGAAGCTCCGACATGATTGCGGATCTACTTATCAAACAACTAGGCAAGCCTGTGTTCGAGAAACTTCGAGAGTCGCTTCAAATGGCGATCCTGCCCATCAAGTAGGATTGTTGGTATGCATATAGTGATGGACTGTCGCCAATAGCACGATAAACTGTATGAACTGGAAACCCTGAAAAAGAGTTGTGTAACTCGCTTATTCTTTATACTTACTTTTCTCACTCCTTCAGGAAAGGGACAGTGACATTCTCTATAATGTAACTCCCGTTTTTTCAATATGTATTTGGAATACTAACGAATTTTTATCTATTTTTTATGTATTAATAAAGAATGTGTTTTGTGATCTTACAATTTCCGTCTACACCTATTTTGGATTAGGAGTTAATTAGGTATGATCTCGCTTGATGCTGCACTGGATAGAAGGTAAGAAGAATCATTTTGCTCTCTATTTTTTATTAATTTGTTGTGAAATTTCGAGGCTATAAAATGTTTCACAACATTTCTATCTGGAAAAAAGTGTAAAAAGAAAAGAAAACCTAAAGAATTTCCGAGAACTGTGGTTTGGTGAAATGAGAAAAATTCTGAAACATGTATGCACGAGATGGTTATCTTTAGGCAGAGCGCTAGGAAGGTTTATTGAACAGTGGGATGCATTGCTAAAATATTTCCACGAAGAGACCAAAATGAAACCACAGATCCCATCAAATTTGTCGGCATATAAGATTCCGAAAACCAACTTTGCTTCTAATCAAAATGCTTTAAAAGGGAAAAGCCAACACACAGAATCAAACCCTTTAAAAAGAAAATGCTTAGAAGACTCCTCAAAGGTCAACTTTGTTAAAGAAGTTGAAGGGAAGAAGAAACAGTCTTCTATTAGCCGGGAGGAAAGGATTTTCTATCTTCTTTCTTCGGATTTGAACAAAGCATATTGTAGTTTTGTGTTAAGTACCATTAAGATTTTTGAAAGTGTAAATACCCTTCTACAATCAGCTTCGCCAAAATCTCCCCTGCTTATCCAAATTCTTAATGATCTTTTGAAAGAACTTTATACTAAGTTTGTAAAACCGTCCGTTGTGAAAAACAGTGTGTTGATTCGTGTTGCCTATAATAGTTTGGCAAATCAAAAGGATGACAATGATCTTATAATTGGAAATCAAACCAGGGAACTTGTAAATTCTTTGAAAGATCATGAGAAAAAAGAATTTTTTCAATGTGTTAGAAAGTACTTTTCCTCAGCCTGTGATTACATTGTAAGGAAGTTTCCTTTGCAAAATGAAGTTCTTTTAAATGCTGAAGTGGCAAATTTGAAACAAATTGAAAATTCATCTTTTGAAAAGATTCGTTTTTTTATTGATAAATTTCCATTTTTGTTAACAATTAAAGAAAATGAATGCCATAATGATGCTTTAGATGAACTACAGAACCAATTTTCTGCTGCACAGTTTGAAGACTTTGCCAGTTCTGGAGAAGATAGACTTGATGTCCTCGTTGGTACCTTAAAAAGAATAAAAAGAGCTGATGGAACACCAAAATATGATAGACTAGCAAGAGTTTTATGTGCTATTCTCGTAATTCCACACAGTAATGCTGAGTGCGAGAGAGTCTTCAGTGTTGTGAAGAAAAACAAAACTATGTTTCGTTTTTCAGTTTCACCAAAAACTCTGAAAAACATTTTAATTGCTAAATGTTATGAGGAAACTAATTGTTATGACAGGAAATTTTCCAAAGAATTTTTGGCTAAAGCCAAAAAATGCACTCTAAATTCATTGCAATAATTTTTTTGTGTAACATTAAGTTCTTGTTTTTTGTTTCCTAATAAATTTTTTTAGTTACTACTTAATTGAGATTTACTAATGTAAGTACAATTTTCTTTTTTCTATTTGTATAAATTGTTATTTTTTTAATATCAAAGCATGATATTAATTCTTCGTGTTCTTCTGAATTTTGGAGAAATTTTCTGAATTTGGGGGAGAAATCTTCTGAATTTTTATCTTTAGAGGTTGGCAGGTATGCTAATTAACAAAAACTTGTGAAAACATTTCATTCAAATTAAAACTCTTCTGAGCAAACATTTCAAGGAAAATTATAGCATTTGATTTCATGAAAGAATGAATGTTATTTAAAAGTTTTAGTTTTTCTAATACTTAGCACTCTGAAATATTGTAGAAAAGAAAATATACATGCATTTGTACTTATGTTTGCAACATTATTACAAAATATTTACCTTCAATTTTGTTAAAACGTATTTATCTTAATGGCAAGTTGCTGAATGTTTTGGTCACCTTCAAGGCAGATTGTGAATATATGGAAGCCATTCACAACTGATTAATAGCTTTTATAATTATGTATTTTTATTTAGTTTTTATTTTTATAGCCCTGAGCTTTCTCCAGTAATGCAGTTGGACACCTACCCTGAATATGGCAGCAATTTTACAGTAAGTTTTTTTTAATTTCTCATTGTGAGTAATAAAGTGCATAATGGATGTACAGTCAAAAGTCGTTAATTCGGACTCCCATAATGCGGACCTCAAAACTACAAACTTTCTGCGCCTTTACGGCTGTGAATATGCGTGTGCTCAAAATACGTTTATGAATGAGCGTTTAATGTATAATGGACGGTATAAGCTAAGCTAAAATTATCTAATTCAGTTAATGTTGCAGATTGCGTTGTTCCTTAATCTTCGAATTGGATTCGGCTTATTATTTTTTGCAGACTGTTAGAGCAGTTTTATAAAAGTAAGCTTGAACTTTCGATTATGTCAAATAGAATTTCTGATATATATTTTCTAATATATAAAGGATCTACAAAGTGAAAGTATGTTTTGAGGTCTATTAAACACAATGTGGAATTGCTGCAAAAAATGCATAAAGGCATATCCTTTGTTTATCTAAACTTTAACGTTTGTTTATCTAAACTTTGTTTATGTTTAATGCTGCGGCGGTGCGCAATGAATTGGAAATAGATCTGTCAGCACTATCCTTATTTTCAGGGCAGATGTTTTTATTTTATTTGGCTTATAATTCCTTACTAAATGTAGTATTTCATCTCAATGTACTCTGTCTTTGATATGATTTAAATCAAGTTCCTCGTCATTATAATTCGCTTCCGATAGCGAAGAAAGTGACAGAGGTTATTGAAAACGAAAAAATTTCAATTGACAAATTAGTCGGTATTCTCGACACAGCAATTATAGGAATTGAACAGCGGAACTTTGTAACTGAACAAGAAATTATGTCTGTTTATAGAATTAAAGAGAATGTATTATCACATAAAAACGAAACAACTTACATTGAAAGAAATGTTTAATAAAGTAAACAAATAAATATTAAGCTTTTTTTTTGTAAATTTTGATACCCTTTAGATCATAATTGTTCTTTATTTCATAAATTACGGTTTCATATTTTTAATTTTATAATTTCTGCATGCTATCCTACCAGATTTAAACTGATGATCTATAATCCGGAAAAATCGATAATCCGGAATCACCGAAGTCCCGACGAGTCCGAATTAACGACTTTTGACTGTATTAAAGCTTAGTGAGAAGCAAATAATGTTCACTTTTCCATTCTTCCTTTAACTCCCATGTGGATTTTTCATTTTAGAAACTGAATTAATATAAAAGTATTTAAATTATTATTTGCTGTTTAAACTTTATATGAATGTCAGGCATCCAACATTTCGCAAAATTAGTCCAATGGAAGGGGGGTAAAAAAAAAATTACCTATTTACAATTGATAAATGCAAGTTGTATTTTTTGTATGTACTAGTATTTCAAACATTCCGGTTTTAATTCCATTTCATAGTTGATCAATTTAAGTCAATTAAATCTATAAAAAATAATGGTTTTCCTTTCATTTTACAAATATTTTAGGAACAAACTTTTTAAATTTAAGAATATTTTTACATTGAACTTTAATTTTTTTACTGGACTACTGCAGCTATAGTTTTATAGGTGAGTAACATAAAATTTTGCCACATAAAAAAAAGTAATAGCCACTGTTGTAGAATTTTAAAGTATCAAAACAGTTATTACATGTATCATGTAGATTAAAAATTAACAAAAGGAATCAATTATTTGTCTGTACAAATAATTGTAATGAAGACATGTAGAGAAATGTTTGTTATATATTCTTATTCTTTTTTTTATTACTTTTATTATTTTTTTATATAGTTTTGTACTCTATATATCAAGTTTTAATCATTAATAAACTTCATCATATGTGTAATTTGATAGTGTGTAGAAAGGTTTTCCGAGTCTTCGCTTCCAGAGGAATCTAACAATATTTTGCCAAAAGTGATGGAAACTGATGACTCTGTGCATAGAGATAAAATGAAGTAAGTTATCAACTTCACTTTGGTCAAGATTAATATTGGAGCTAATGTTTATAGTCCACTTACTGATGGCCTATAAACATTAGTTCCAATATTAATCTTGACCAAGGTGATAATTTATGAAGTGATATTATGTCAAACCAAGATGATATTATGTCAATAATTTATGAAGTCTTTTTAATGCTCTGAGTTTTCAGTTTATAGCTTTTGTGTTCAATTAATGCTAAAATTCTGAATTTATTAGAGGAATTTATTTATTGATTTATAATAATATCTGCATTAATGTTTAATTTTTTTTTCTGTTGACAGTCTTAAGTTTATGCCAAGCAGTATGCAAATTCCTCTTTTATACATGTAGTGGTGAAAAAGGGCTTGAAATGCAAATCTAGTCTTTTGTTTACCTTGTAATATATTTCGGTTTCTGGAATGTATAAATATTCTATTATCCATTCTGTGTGATTATTTTCAAAAGCTAAATAAGATACTTTGCACAAAACTGTGGTGTAATGAACATAATGTAAAATTTATAAAACATGATATAATAAGTGAAAAGAGTAGTTTATTTTTCATAAAGATTTCTGATTGCATTTGAAGTTTAAAAAGTGGTCCAATTAAAAACATTACCCATGTAATAAAAGTATTTTGGATGAATGTCATATTGATGATGTTTTTCATGAAAGTGATGAAGAAAGTTGTAATACAATCAATTCTGATTTTGGAATAACCATATGTGAACTTTTCGGTTAACATGTCACCAGTGAGTGCCAAGCATAAATGTTTGCATGTAATGTAGTAAGAAATGGCTGTCTTAAAAACATGTACAGCTTAATGGAAAGAATGGCTATTTTACTAAAATTAAAGACATAAAAGAATTCTCAAATAAGAATATACAAAAATATTGTATTGAGCAACTATATATTCAGTAATTTTTAGTCGGAATTCACAGAAGTCTGCCAGCATGAGTTCTTGGCATCAAAAGTAAATAAACCAAATAACTATCAGAAAGGGAGTGCATGAATTATCCCACTAATATATTTTTACCTCCTCTTTCAGTATTACAACACGTAAGAAAATTCTTAAATTTATATTTCTCATCCATAAAATGCTTAAGTGTACGTTTTTTATGTATATGCAGCATGTTTCAAAAAGAATATATGTATTTCAAATGCATATAGTTATTAAACTGTATGACGTATGTACACATATTTACGAACCTCTCAAGTTCAGATTACAGATGTTCAATATGTCCTCCATCAGCGACACGAACAATATCACATTAATACTCAAATTCCTCCCATACTCGGGCAAGCATGCTTTTCGTCATTGATGTTATGACAGTACGGATCTGGTTCTTCACCTCTTCCAGGTTCTGTGGGAGTGGTGGTACATAAACGTTGCCTTTAATGAAACCCCAGAGGAAGAAGTCACAGGGTGTCAAATACGAGAACACAAAATGATTACTGCTTCGTAGTAGCCATTTTAAACATGTGACAGTTACCACGCAAAGCAGAAGACACCTGACATCTAGCGGCTATTAATATAAACTAGACTATGTATTCGTTTGCCGAGGTGCAGTGATTGATAGTTTGGACAAAGTAATACTTTGTAATACGTATATTCTTTTTGAAACACAGTGTATATTTCTTTATTTCCTACAATGAGTAATCAAGAAGCTGATGACAAGTAGAAATATGTCAAGATATTTTTCAAGCTTTCTAAATGCTGAGTATTTGCTGTACACTTATTGAGAATTAATTTTCTTTTAGTTTCTGAATAATTCTATATTCCATCTCCTTTAATCATTTTCTTGATGAATAACAGCTTCTTGGATTTGATTAATTAGATAACTGTAGCATAGAAATCCATCTGATAATGCATGTCAGAAAAGATTTGCTTTGCTAACTTATAAATACCACGGACAAAATGTTGCATATAATTCTGTCATTTTGGTTTAAATTGCTTTTTACTTCAAAGTCAGCACTATTTTTTTTTTTTTTTTTAGTTCTTAAAATGTAATAATATATTTATTCACATATATATTTTTCCCACAAATTGTAACACTTGAAAACAGGGAGAGGAAAAATATGCGGTAACAATTTCTAAAGAGATGGCTTAAATGATGAAATTAACACATTAAAAAGCGCAGGTAAAGATACACTAATACAGCTGAGGAGGGAAAGAGACACCATTCTACCAAGAGGTTAGGGGGTATTGTCTTACATCCTCACGTATCTAGCATTAAGATATATATATATCAATTAACATCCTAGGATATTGTTGTGGCTCAGGTCATAATTTTAGATACTCAAATTACTTTACAGCAGAGCATACGTTTAGGATAGTACACATTACAAATAATGCCATCCGTATATGTTCACACACACACACACACATATATATGAGGGAGGAGTCAAAGTCATTAAAATTCCAGGAGTTGGAGTCGATGATTTTCCCTACTGATTTCACAGCTCTGGGAAAATTGTTGGGGCTTGTATGGTGGTTGCTTCTGTATCCAAGGTATCTGAAGTGTTTGGTGTTTGCAAGAATACCAGAAAAACTACATCCACTAAATCACAGTATGGACAAAAATATGTGTTGAGTGTTCATGACAGATTATTGTTGAAGAGAATTGTGATGAAAAATAAGAGGACTACAGCTGCTGAAATGAATGTCACGCTCGCAAACGCTGTCAGCACCAAAACAATATGAAGGGAGCTCCACAAGCAGGGTATTTTGGGGTGAGCTGCTATTCAAAAGCCACTCATTGGTGATCAAAATAGCTGTAAGAAGAAAAAATGGTGTTAGAGTTATAAAACCTGGGATGTAGAGCAATGGAAACTAGTCATTTGGTCGTATGAGACTTACTGTTTCTGACTTCTGGGTGAGTTTACATCTGGCGAACACAGTCTCAAACGTATAATACAGTGTTTGTTGTCAAGAGTGAAATATGAAAGGGATTAATTCAGTCATGGTTTTGGCAGCCATATTGTGTTATTCCATGGGACCTATCACTGCTGTTCAAGATCACATTACTGCCAAGCATTTTGGCTGATTATGTTCATACCATGGTGCAAATTTTGTTCCCCAATGGTGATGCCATATTCCAAGACAACAGAGCTCCTATTCGCTCTTCACATATATCGTGGCTACCAAAGTCTCCAGATATCTATAATATTTAGTCTTTGTGGACTATTTTGAAGAGAAATCTGCATGAGAGCTATCCAACACCATCCTCGTTAACTGAACTTACCAGTATGTTACAGGAAGAATGATACAAGATTCCCTTGCAAAACATGCAAGACCTCTATTTATCTATTCCGAGAAAACTGCAAGCTGTTTTGGTTGCTAATGGTTTTCCTACACTGCATTCGTCACACCAATGTTTTTATTTTGGTGTTTCCATATTTTTGTACAGACCCTGTAATTTCTTGTTCAGTTACAAAGTTCCATTCTTCATGCTCTGTAATTGGTATATCGAGAATTGCAACTACATTGCCAATTGATATTTTTTCATTCTCAACTACCTCTCTGTCACTTTCTTAACAGTTAGTACCAATATTTTCTGGATTTAGAACCATTCTATAGATTTCGCCATCCTTTAGTTAACGTATTTGCTGGCATATAAGATGCACCTTTTTTCTTTGATAATAGGTCTGAAAATTGGGTGCGTCCTTGTACATTGATACTCGGTTTTTGACTACTTTCATTTCTGGAAATTTGCTCTATTTGGAGTAATGCGATTTTTTTTTTCATTGTTTCTTTCTGGAGTGTGAAAATATTGCAGTTATTATTTAAGAAGTGTGGCGTAAGTAATGCACTGGATGTACAGAGGATAATTTGTTGTATGAGGATTCAGATGCTGATATAGAAGAGGTTTCAAGTAACTCTTCAGCTTTGAAGATGAGTGTCTGGGTTTTGATGAAGAAGATTAAAAGGTGTTCTTTCCTAGATAGATTGGCTATTTGCAGAAAGTATTACTTTGTATTTGTATTTCTTAATATTTAAAGTACTATAAATGTATTATATTGATCAGTAATAAAGTTTTATTCTTCAAAAATGTGTATAAAAAGGGGGTGTGTCTTATACGCCGGCAATTATGGTAATTGATGATTGGGACGTTGTCATTGCAATAAAAAACTTCTGTTATATTATCTTCATTTATTGCCACTTCTCTATATTTCTTCCAAAATCTATTAAATGGAAATTTTGCTTTTGATTTGCAATATCTGAAAAATCTTCAAATTTGGGTTTATCATGATATGAATCTCAGCTAGTGTCCACCATATGCTCTTGGTAATGTGTAACGAGATTGATGAATAAATATGTGTATGTTGTTGTTCTATTAATTTTTGTATTTTTTTAATTGCTCATTGACCTAGTTAAGGCTGAACTATATTTGTTTAGTTATTTATTATACTTATTCCATGCACATGCTTATGCCTTTTTTGAGTTCTGAATAAATTAATTTCCACATATACTTAAAGCTTTTCTAGTGGCCAGCACTAGACATTTTGCGGCTGGGTGCAGTTTCTGCATGTCCTAAAGTCTAAAAATTTTGTCACCTCTAAATTTTGCATCCCATTGCTTTCCTTAAATTCTAAATCTTTTGTCATCCCTTAATTTTGTTGCTTGGTGATTATTTAAATTAAAAAAAAAAAAAAATTGCTTTTCCTTAATTTTGTCGTTTGGTACAGCCTCACCAGCTGTGGCATCTGTTCTGAGATTACCTGAGTAATAAATTAATTATTCTTAATGAAACAGCACAAAATGTTATCTTTTGGCCTCTGAGTATCATTTATAAAGTCTGTTTTTTTGCATATGGAAAGAAATTTAACAAAAGTTCTCCTTGTGACTACACACTCAACATTTTCCAACACGCTTAAAGCTAAAGTCTGTAATCATCACCAAGCATACTATCAGCATAAAAATTATCATGCTGTTTAGTGTTGTTTAGATATCACTGCATGTATCATTTCTTAGGCTGCCATGTGTTGTGACAGTCT